GTTTATTGTGATGTCCTTATGGATGTTACTCAGAACTGTTAGGACTTTCTTGGGTTGATGATCATGATGCTGAGATATGTTGAATAGAATCAATACATTTTTAGACTTTATAGGAAACCTTTGACATTGAAACCTATCAATCAAAAAAAAAAAAAAAAAAAACTTGTGTGTCTAAACCTATTCTCCTTTCTCCAATTCCTAGTAAACCAAACCCGTCTACTGAGAGGGTTGGTATCAATAATGAGGTTGTGGCCAAATCTATTGTTCCTGCTCCTTATGTTGATGAACCATCTCATCCAAAATCCAATTCCTCCAAATCTATTGTTGAAAGTGGATCTCGTGCATGTTTATTTAAATTTCCTTCTAATTTGATTATGGAATTGATTTTCAATAAGGTAGAATTGTTTCCCAACCACGGTGATCAAAAGTCTCGAGTATTTTTTTTCTGCTTTCTCTACAACGAGAATGTCTCTATAATCAACTTTCAAGCATCGATGGCTTGGTTCAAAATCCAGTATTAAGGCCGAGAGATTTTTTACTTTTCAGATTGTTGCTTCATGATTCTTTCCACTTTAAAACTCACCGGAGTCGAGTTTCTTCAACCCGATGAGAATGATGACGAATTAGATTATAATTATTTTAATATTTAAATTCAATTTAGGATTATGTTTATCTTTTTATTATTTTAAATTAATTTATGTTTATCTTCTTTTTAGAATAGGATTAGGATTTCATTCTCTATAAATACATTAGTGATTGTAATTCTTATGAAGGCTTTTTGATGATTAATGAATATTGAGATTTCAGTTTCCTGCTCTTGAGTTCTTGTTCTCCTCCTATATTTATCCTTCTGGTTCCATTTCTCTCCTGATTCTATTCTTCTCTATCAGATTTATTCTATAATTTCTACTCGATCCTACATCAATGATTTAATGAATATTAAGCATGAATTCAAGCACCTCATGAAGTCACACGTTTTTCTTTCCAAGTGATTCATCCATTCACATTGTGTTTCGTTCGAATTGAAATATTTTATGTCACATAAAATTGTAAATATCTTTTGTGTCTTTCCAACACCACTGGAATCACTATCTATTTATTAAATTACTAATTAATATATTATATAATTAGTATTTACTAATTAATAATTAATTATTTAATATAACACTACAGATAAGTACTAGAAAATAGAATCAGAAAAGGAAAATTAACTTTCAATCATTTTTTAATTTCTTAATAAAAATCATTTTCACTGTTTTATTTCATTCTCGGTTTCAAAATATTTGTAAAATAAGCACAGTTTATAAATCATTTTTATTTTTGTGCCTAAAAAAACATGTAAAACATTTTTTTTTAATTCAAAAACCAATACCAAATACACCCAATGTTTCTCAAGAAGTTTTAGAGACTTTTTATGGATATTGAATAGATTTTAGAATGTGTAACTAACCCTAAAATGTATTAACATGCATGTTTAAAAGTGCTTAAAATCATCGGTGGCAGATTCGTAATTATGAGCAAATATGAAAATTCACGCAAGAACTTGAATTCGAACATTCTAGGTATTTTAACTACAACTTTTTACTCCAATATCAAAATTGAGTGAGTCAAGATGTGTGAAAAAAGTTCTACAATTATGTATGAAAAAAAAATTCCTAATTCGGACGATTTAAAGATCAAAAATTAGATTCAAACTGTCTTCATAGAAATAGATAAATGACTTGTAAAGAAAAACGTAAAACTTCACGACGTACTTGAACCAGTACTCAATTTTTATTAAAATCATATAATATAATATATAGTAAGACATCAAAACATGAAAATTTCATATTATATCATATACATAAATATATAAATATATTTATTATGTAACTTATCATGACATGTTCATATATCATCATGATACACCGAGTCTTTTGTCACGATCACTTGAGAGAAATTAATTAATAATCATGTTAGTAACATTAATAATGTCATTTACTTATGAATAATTATATTATTCCATGATAATGTTTTCTTGAAAATCGTAAAATTCAAATAGTTAGTCTTATAAGGCGTTACAAAAACTTTGCAATTTTGATTTTGTTTTTTGTTTTTATATCAGCATAATGCGATTTACGCCTCAAATGAAAATTACAGAAAAACGAGCTACATAACTTTGTGTTCACTTCATTGCTATCATCTTAGTAAAGGATTTCTTTTGGTAGGATGCAATAGCCTTTTCCCCTGCGAGGCTGCGATTGGTCCACCCCAAACCGACCCATCAATATAATTATATATACATGGGGCACATGCTTGCGTGTACTAGTGCAGCTACGTATAATTTTAGTGTCCGTTTAGTTCGCTGATTTGAATTTTTAATTCGAGTTGAGATGTGACTTTATGTGAGTGCTTTTTATTGTAGCATAAAAGTTAGATGTGACTATTTCTAAGAATTTTTTATTATAGTAAAACTCGAATTCTAAACTCAAATCAGTGAAATGAACGGGACCTTACAATATTCCATTCTCATAATCTCTTGTGTATGGGAAAAATGTGATGCCTAAATTAGAAACCTTGAGTCCTAATAAAGAGGTTCTAAAATTACAATTCACAATCCTGCTTCAACATTTTATCATTAATTTACAAGGACTTCCTCAGGTAGGCCTCATTATCGATAGTGTCAATTTCTAATCGTTAAATATGGTTAAAATCACATCGAATTAAAAAAAATGTAGAACAGACATATTTTAATACACATTGATAGCTTAAAAATAGAGAACCAATAGTTCAATTTTTTTAATCCTACTAGAGAAACTCCCTAATTTACAAAAGAACCAAACCAAAACAATGATAGTAATGAGAGTAGTAGTAATGATAACAGCAATAATATTGATAATATAAAGCAAACTATTTTTAATTTAAAAAAAAAAAAACAACCAAAAACTATCTTGGAATACAAAACCAAAAGGGAGAAAAAAGTAGAATTTTACGCCCAAAAAATAAAGGAACACAAAAAGTTAAAAAGAGGGCAAACATCTAGCCCACAATTCAAAGAGGAAACCAAATCAAAATGGAAGAACGAGAGGCAGAATCTCAAATCTCAATTAAAGTGGTCAAACATCTAGGCCTCATTATCGATAGTGTCAGTTTCTAATTGTTAAATCTAATTAAAATCAGATTGAATTAAAAAAAATATGCAGAACGGAATCTTCCATTCTCATAATCTATATGTAATCTATATGTAATATATATATTCCATTATATATACATGGGGCACATGCTTGCGTGTACTAGTGCAGCTACATATAGCTTTACAATATTTCATTCTCATAATCTCGGTATGTGAAAAATGTGATGCCTAAATTAGAAACCTTGAGCCCTAATAAAGAGGTTCTAAATTACAATTCACAATCCCGCTTCACCATTTTATCATTAATTTACAAAGACTTCCTCAAGTAGACTTTGTTATCGATAGTGTCAGTCTTTAATTTTTAAATTTGATTAAAAAATAACAAAATATTCCATTCTCATAATCTATATGTAATCTATATGTAATATATATTCCATTATATATACATGGGGCACATGCTTGCGTGTACTAGTGCAGCTACATATAGCTTTACAATGAAAAATGTGATGCCTAAATTAGAAACCTTGAGCCCTAATAAAGAGGTTCTAAATTACAATTCACAATCCCGCTTCACCATTTTATCATTAATTTACAATGACTTCCTCAGGTAGGTCTCGTTATCGATAGTGTCAATTTTTAATTGTTAAATCTTGTTAAAATCACATCGAATTAAAAAAATATGTAGAACGGACATATTTTAATACAAATCTGATAACTTAAAAATAAAAAATCAATAGTTCAATTTTTTTTAATCCTACTTGAGAAACTCCCTAATTTACAAAAGAACCAAACCAAAACAATGATAGTAATGATAGTAGTAGTAATGATAACAGCAATAATATTGATTATATAAAGCAAACTATTTTTAATTTAAAAAAAAAAACAACAACAACCAAAAACTATCTTGGAATACAAAACCAAAAGGGAGAAAAAAGTAGAATTTTACGCCCAAAAAATAAAGGAACACAAAAAGTTAAAAAGAGGGCAAACATCTAGCCCACAATTCAAAGAGGAAACCAAATCAAAATGGAAGAACGAGAGGAAGAATCTCAAATCTCAATTAAAGTGGTCAAACTTTTGCAGCCCTGCTGCAGGGACATAATCTATCAACATTCCTGCTTAATTTGCTTTCCATGTGCATACATATTGCATTTGACTGATGATATATGTTTACTTTTTGAAGGGCTACAAAAGGAGCATAAAGACTAGCAGAAACATGAATATGGTAAGCAACTATGAAATTTCATGTTTGCTTTCATTGGAGACTGAAAAGAAAAACTAATTAATAAAAAGGTGCAATTATATTGGAGAATGTTATATTTACTCCACCATTAAAAATTGTATTTTAGCTATTAGATTTTTTTTTTTCAACAATTGGATCTATAATAGGAGTTGTCATGTGTCGCTCTCTGTAAATTTTAATGTGCATAGATCTAATAATTAAAAAACTAATCCTACGGTTAAAATAAATTTCTCCGCTATTAAAGATTCCTTTAAATAAAAAGGAAAAGTTAGAATAAGTTAAGAAAAATTGGGACAGCCCAAGGAGGCCTAGTAGTACTTGATCACCAACATTAATATTCATCCTCTCTCTACATATATACACACTATTGATGCATATAATTGCTCTCCAATATGTCATTATTTCCCATTTAACAATGAAAATAGAAGATTCTCAATCATCCCCTCCACACTATATAGGAAACAACCATAATTGCACCCAACAATACTATTAACCTATAAAGCTAGAAACCTGAGCTCCAAAAGCCCTACCCACTTCTTCCTTCTTTATTCATCTTTTCCAATATATTTCATTTAACCCACCATATAGCATATATACCACACTACCTTTTTTTTTTTTTTCTTTTCCTCCCTTTTTCCCCACCTCCCCTATTGATGGATCCTAATTCATGCACCACAAATTCCGTTAGTGGGTTTTACAATCTCCTGAGTCGTGAGCTCAACAATCTCGACCAAAATTTTCTCTCCCACAACAACTTCATGTCCATTCAGTTCCTTCAACAGGTGCTCTCCTCTCTCCAGTCCTTCAATTCCCAGCTGACCCTTTTGGTTCAGAAGCTTCACTTGCCCACCGGAGAGAAATGGCTCGATGAGTACATGGATGAAAGTTCCAGGCTCTGGGAAGCCTGTCAAGTCCTCAAATCCGGAGTCTCCGCAGTCGAGAATTTCATTGCAAGTGCCACTAATATAGTCTCTTCTCTTGATAATTACCACCATTTAAATCCCGTAATGTCTCGCCAGGTTAGTATAAAGGGCCAGTTTAATTAGTATTGCCGTAGCTTTTAAAATAATTATTGTTAATATTAAATCATATCAGAATCAACACGATATATATATATATATATATGATCAGTTAAAAGTGTCTTTTCAAGCCAGCTTTCAAAAGCTTTCACAAGTGATATAGTTGTGTTTTTTTTTTTTTTTTTTCACTGCAGAAGTATGGCATAAAAGTGTAGAACAATAGTAAAATAATCAAACATCATGTCTTATGTATGTGTGAGGTGAATTTTCGTTTTCAGGTTATCCGGGCAATAAGTATTTGCCAAAGGGAAACTGTAGGGTTGGAAGAGGACAACAGGGTGTTGATGGAAACAAGAATCCAACAATTGTCACTTTGCGATGATCTTAATTGGATTGACGTTCCAATGGATTCCAAGTTCAACGGGTTCAGCGGTTTTCGCGGCGTTCTTCACGCAATGAGGAAAGTTAGCTCGTTCCTATTGCTGATCCTGTTCAATGGCCTAGTCTTTTGCTTGCCTGAATCCTCAAGTTTTAATGATCAAGGAGATAATTATGAAGCAAATGCAATATTGGGTTCTGCTGGATTCATGGTTTCAATGGCTAGATTGAGGCAAAGAGTTGCAAACGAGATGGAGCAGTTTTATGGGCAATCTGGAATACTTCTTTACGAGTTCCGGGGGTCGAAAACCACCATGGAAGAGCTGAAAGTTGTGCTGGAAAGAATGGCGGAGTTTGAAGAAGAATCTAATGATGATGATCATAACATTAATAATGATGATTTGCAATATCAGATTGAGAAGTTGAGATCAGGGTTTGGATTGCTGAGAAGTGGGGTGGAGACTATAATTGGACAGCTTGATGATTTCTTTGATGAAATAGTTGAAGGAAGAAAGAAGCTTCTAGACATGTGCTCTTCTCATTCTCATAGGTAGACATTTTGGTACATGCTAAGCCATAGTTAGAGAAAAAAAAAAAAAAGGGAAGAGAGAGAGAGATTTATGAAATTAAACATTATTAAAAAAAAAAAAAGTTGAAAAAGTTTAGTTGCTGAAAGGGCATACAAATGTCATGGCATGTTTCTTTTTCTTTTATTGTTTTTGTTAATTTTGTCAATATGTTTCTTTGCTTTCCTTTTGACTTTTAATCTCTTAGCTTTGCAGCTATGTGCATTAGTTCTTTTTTTTTTCTTTTTTTTCTTCTTCTTTATATATACAGTGATACCCATGAAAGCTTTTAAAGGGAGCATTTTCTCGGAATTCCGTAAGGGGAAAAATTCCGGAGGAGAAAAGAAGATGATTCTTTCTTTAAAGATAAAGCATTATTATTACTATTGAAAGATAAGAAACAAGAGGAATATGTAAATAGCCCAATAGCTTCAATAAAAAGCAATATATATATATATATATATATATATATTACCTAATAGGAGAGATTCTTCTCTTTAAAGAATGGAAAAGATATTAGAGATAAGAGGAAATTGATGCTTCAATATTGTTTGTCCCACATATTGCTGAAGCCACTCAAATTTTGAAGTGTGAATTAATGTTTATACATGGAATTAGATATCACTTTCATTATGTACTTAGTAACATGGTTAATTTGAAATAAAAACCTTATGTATATCCCTAAAATCTGAAGGTTTGTAATTAAAAAATAAATAAATAAAGTAGTGGAAACAATTTGAGTTTTTCTTTCTGATTAAAACTTTCTGGCGCAGTTGAAGAAAACTAATAACTCACACTCAAATAATAACTTTAGGGAACAATGAAAAAAAATATAATTCTTCTATAAAAAAAAGGTACACAATTAATATAGATGTACTGACATTAAATCTAAAAATATATAAAACAATAATAATTTTCAATTGTACGTAAATACTGTTTTAAAGATAATAATTATTGCTGCATTTTTAAAAATAAAATAAAAATCATCTTTTAGCAACGACAAATGTCATAGTGTCATCGCTAAAACATAATTGCCATGTCAGTTTATTCAAAAAGATCTCCAAACTATTTTGGTATCATAAAAGAAAAATTCCAACTTTCAGCAATGATAAATTAAAAAAAAAAAAAAAAATTTTCACAAAAAAAAAAAAAAAAAAAAAAAAAAAAAAAAAAAAAAACGTCATCTTGCTAATGGGGTGGCGAATTATCTTGCGACAAGGTATTGGGTGAATTCGTTGCTAAATATTTTCAGTGATCAAAACACAAGGAGACCTTTTTAGCAACAAATTTTCGTCGTTAATTTCATTTTTAAAGACATTGCAGACTTCAAGAGATAAGAAATCAGCAGAGTGTTTGCTTGATCTTGCAGTGATTTACATGTCTATGGATTTAAAAAATGTGGAGTGTATTATTTTGCTCCTTTTTTTTCACTATGTTTCCTTTTGTTTCTTTATGTTTTGATCACTGAAAGTAATTGATTGTTGATTTCAGGCAAAGACAACAGGAGATATCCTCCTCCTGTCAACTTAAAAGAATGATTACACCATAAAAAGTAGATTATGCTACCTGCCATGAGACAATGACACATTTCTTAATTAACAAGTTTAAAAAAAAAAAAAACAAAACAAAACAAAACCAAGTTTTTTGCTTCTTTTTTTTTTTTTTAATCATTCTGGTCCTCAAATTTCCTTCCTCTTCAATCTTTATATATATCGTTGCAAATTTGATGAAAATTATAAAAGGGAATTTTCCTTTTAACCATGGTTTTGAAATCTCTTTGGTGTTATTTGGTTGGGGGATTCGTTCCCTGATTCGAATCATGATTCGTGGTTCGCTATAGTATTTTCTCTCACAAAAAATACACGTAAATCGAAAATGATTGTAATCACATAGTTCTAATTTATGAACCAAACATCTCTTTTGATTTCATATAGCTTTCAAGCCAAGTATAGTAGCTCTTTTGCACTTGCATTAAGAGCTAGGCAACCTTTGCTTGCCTTGTAATATATATTTAAATCCTCAACAAAGTTGTACCAATTTTTTTTTTATGGCTTAATGAAACTAATTAAGTACGGCATACTGGCTATAGCCACATAATTATGCTGTTTTTTCTTTTATGGCTACTTCTTCTAATCATAGTAATTCTGTTCAGTTATGTCGTTTAAACAGCGTAAAATTTAAGTTTTAAATGGAATTCTCTTATAGTCTATTAATATTTCGTTGAATATAAAAAGAACACACATACTAAGATTACTATATATTATGTTTTATTACTTAAATTGAGCAGTGCCTTTTGGATTCTATTATTGACTTATGGCCTAAATTTTCTATGATTAAACGTTAACTTGTCTTCCACTCACATTATATACTAATGTGCAGCATCCAAAAAAAACACTGATAGCAAAGCACTAATTGGAAGGATCTGTCTTTTTCAATCTATATGCAAAAGTCCTTAATGAAGAATATGAACCGAGAATGGAGCTACAACACTAATCTATTTGCACTTGAAAGATAAAAAGAAAATTGAAAAAAGAATTTAGGTATCAAATCCTAATCTTTTCCCCAGATTTTTCCTTGTATGGTCATTGAGAAGAGATTTTGTGCCTTTACAATTGTGGAAACAGATTTGTGCCTTTACAATTGTGGAAACAGATCCTATCTCATGCATTAATTTTTAATTTCAAAGAGAGTCTTAAGAGTTGGCATAGTAAATGACTAATCATTTTGGTTGTGAAACAATGATGGAAAAAGTGGGCTGTAGGAATTCCTGGTTTTACTCTTTTTTTATAAAATTCAAAAAGTTGATTTTTTTCTTTTCTTTTCTTTTCTTTTGTGTATCTGAAGGATACTTTTGTCTCGTTGTTGCTTGGTTTTTAATGAAAGCATGAGAGAGAGAGAGAGAGAGAGAGAGTAAAGTTGCTCAAAGTCTCTGTCTAAACACCATTCCACTGACATGTTTGCTGTTCCTATGATTCATTCTTCTCCTCCAATGTCTTCCTATTTTGTCCATTAATTCTTCTCTCTCCTCTTGTCTCTTAGCAATGATGCACATCATATATGTGTGCCTATTCATAACAAATTTCAGGCCTTGGTTGGGTACTTCTATCCATGCTCCACTCTTGTTCTCTCCTCAATGCAATCATGAGCCATGTTCTCCTTTGCTTTGTGCTCAGAGGCACCAACAGAAGGAAAAAAAAAAAAAAAAAAAAAGAAAGGTGAGAGAAAAGAAAAGAAAAGAGGGGGAAAAAATTGCGCTAAAAGCACATGTAGCATTCTTTCTAATTTTTACCGGCCAAAGAAAGAAAATACCGGGTTTCTTTCTTTAAAATTAGGGGTTTTTCTTTTGTATTTTTGAGTTGAGGTGATTTGAGTGATGATTTTGAGTTATAATTTGAGTTGAAGTTGTAACTTGAGTTTGTGTTTGGATGTACACATTTGAGTTATGATTTGAATTGAGAATCTTTTTGTGTTTATATTTAGGTGGGTCAAAACTTAAATTTGCATTTAGATAGTATTTTAATAAAAACTCAATGGTGATGAAAAATTTTAATAAGGTATATAGGTGGGGTTTTATTCGTCTTTTCGTTGTGAATGCATAGAAAAAAAAATCATCTCAATCAGAATTAAAACGAAAAAATTATGACATTTTTAAGAATAAAAAAAATACTGTTCATTAACTTGAGTTTGAGTTTATGAACTCGAGTTGAAGGGAAAACTTGAACTCGAATTTAGCCTCAAACTCAAATTTAAACTCAAGTTCCAAACATAAACTTAAATAAAGTTATAATTCGAGTTCAAATTTTTTCTGAATTTTGTTATAAAAGAACAACCTGAATTTTTAAGTGGTGCTTTTTGAGCCAGTCTTCTAACGTTTATGTGGCAATAATGCTAGAGTCGCCAATTCTGTATAAAGTATTGTAGTAAATACAAATGCTAACATAAGCATGTTTTCTCGAAAATTCCTTGCGCTCAAATAGCTACCACATTAGTTAGTAACCAATATTTGACTAAATTAACTTACCATTGGGACCAACTCTTATCCAAAACTTTGAAATTTTTCAAGTTATCACTGTTATTTCGAATGCTTTCAATTCATGCCAAATTTCGCAGCTTCTCTACATCCACGGTTAAATTTGACCATCGTATTGATACATTTAAACCTTTTGTAGCTTACAGATGGATCTTGTAACTGAACGCGAATCAAGAATAATTTTTGATAACATCCACAATACAGATTACTTTTCTTATTAACTCAAAAATAAGAGGTATAAAATCGTAATTATCTCAAACTAACCAAAAAAAAAAAATGGCATCAATAACAGCAACAGAAAACCAAAATAAGGTAAAAATTACATTTTTCAACTTCGTGGGTTCTCATTAATCCAAAAATTTTAATTTGACGATAATGTTCAGAAAGTATGGATCAAACCTTCATTACTGAAATTTCCAAGTCAAATTTGAATTTCATTAAGATGTCTTAAGGCATGACCGGCTGCTGTACACAATAGTTATCTCTATTTTGCAAGAACAAAGAACACAATGTACTGGGATCAAAGGGTTATTGACCCAACATTGCATGTACTGTACCGACCTTTCATAAACGACCCGGAGATTTAATCTTGAATGTCATATAAAACTATAGAATATGAATTTTGCTTCCTGTACAGCCACTGACCACTGTACTTACCTTTCTGCCACAGCCACAATGCCGACTCCCAACTCCTGAATCCACCTCTGTACCAAACAGCACATCGATCAACAAAACGATTCCGACTCCGTTACTCCATCCCCCTGTATTATACCGTGTTACAGCGATCGGCAAGAGGATGGCTACTTAAAGATTGCCAAACATAACAAAGGAGACAACCACAAAGTTGAGGACAACCACAGAATGACATTTGAAAGTCGACATGCGCAACAGAGATCTTTCTGGAACAAAAAGATGGCAGTCCTTCTGCGTTGCAGATCCAAAGCCAAGTCAAATGTCGAATCCTGGCATTGCAAACTGACTTGCGAAAGATTCGACTCGGATCCGGAGCTCTACAATATCTTTGTTGTTCTCCAGAGCCTTTAGGAACAGCTTTTGCGACTTACCGTGTTCTCTCAGTACTGCACTAGCGATATGCGCAGCTTTGAGGAGAAACTCAGCAATTGTCTCGAAATCAGACTCCAGACAACCTCTTGACGTCATAGCAGGGGTACCTAAGTAGATTTCACAAAAACTTACATCATAACACACCCTTTTTCCCAAAAGAAACATCAAGCCTGTATTTATAAACCACAAAGAAGCTCTCTAAAAGAACAAGTTATAAAGAGATTATGTAAATGAGGACAATACGTCTCCAGAAAAAGAAAAGAACCCAAAAGGTACATTTGATAATCCAAACTTGCAATTTGCAAAATAAGATATCTACTCACCAATCCTTACTCCGCCAGGGGTGATAGTTCCGTTGTCACCAAAAATTGCGATCTTATTGAGTGTGATGTGACACATTTCACAGACCTTTTCGTAGTTCTTACCTGGAAAAAAAAATAGAAAAAACAGAAGTTACAATAATCCATAGAAGCAACAATTGGATGAGAGAAAGTGTGTGTAAGCATTCAAACCGCAATAAGTCACTAAGGAGATTAAGCAAGAACTGGCTCTGTGTTTAACTGAAGGTTTGGGTACTATAAAATTGTATAGTCGTGCATTAATATTTAATTATTCATAAGCCATTCATTAGAGGCCAGAAAAACAAACAGAACAATACAAACAGCATTCTACAATTTCTTCAATACCAAAAGAGAGTGGAAAACAATAAAAGGATTGACCAAATAATAAAATAAGCCATTAACAATCACAATAAAGTTTTGTTCTTATCTAAAAAGGACAGGAAATAATCAGAATAAACTGCCACTAACGCCACTTCACAACAAACTACATGATGTAGCTGTTCCCAGCTGGTTGATAAAAGGAAAATTAAAAAGTGGCTTGTCGTGATCAATCAAACAGCAAAAGCAATACTTTTTCCTAAATGAACACCCAAATGCCACCTCTCTATTTTCTGTGTGGCATTCAAATGTCTACCCACGCATGAAGCAACGTGAATTGCTCATATGTTTATAAGAAAAAGCGATTCAGAAAAATGAAAATCATTCTAAACACATAAAAAAGTAAAAACATGGTCATTACAAAAGAGCCAGTGATAAAGAAAGCTATGTTTAAGTAATAAGGATTAGGAAGTTCACACAGTAGGCCATGAAATCAATACCACCATTTCCTAAGCCCAACCTACGACTTGTTTGTTAAGAGCTATCTTTATGGTGTGCCCACAAAGAAATTTCAAGCAAGAAACAGAGGGAAGGGGCTCTATTAAGTTTTCTCAACTTTACAATTTACCAAATAAGATGTAAGTATCCAATAAAATCCTCTGAGTGTACACTCCTTGATGAAGAAACTCAAAAAACAATGGGATCTACAAGGGAAATGGCTAAAGCAGTGCATCAATTTCTAAAGATTGCCTACTCCCAGACTATCGACACAAAATACGTCAAATTATGAACAGATCAAGATAAGCATTCTCCAACTACAGTGTTTCTAATAATAGACAACTTTTTGTACGTTAATGGAAAGCCTCAACTTGTCGTAGCATGCTTAGCCTCAACGGAGACCTGCAATGGTGAGCAACCAAGTTCGAATTACCCACCCCACACAGACAAAAAACCAAGAAACAAGAAAAGTAAAAGCAAAACATAAAGGAATATCGCTCTGAAAAGCAAACTGGACAGGTCCCACTCCAATAGAAGTCATTAAAAATATAGTTCCAATACATTGGATGCTTGAGTACATATGATTCAATAGAATATAAGTCCAAGAAATTGGAGGTTCGATCTCTATATATTTTATAAGAACATATATATATATATATA